CGCAGAGCAGGGAGCCTGATGCGGGGCTCGATCCCAGGACCCTGGGATCATGACCTGAGCCGAAGGCAGACGCTTAATGACTGAGCCACCCAGGTGCCCCAAAACTGATTATACTTCTTGATCACATATCAGCTGATATGAAGGAAAGTGGCTCAGAAACATAGTTGTGCAGGGAAGAGTCAGTCTGAGATTAAAAACATGCCAATGTCATCTAAAAGGAGGATAACTAAAAGCTAAACACATACAGAACAGGCTTTTTAAAAAGAGACCATCTAACAGAATGGATGCTGCCTTAAGCTGCAGACAATTGCCTTCACATTCTGTCAGGTAAGCGGCTAAATCCGTCACAGAAGCACAGCAAGGTCCATAAATCTGTTTCACCACTGCTAGCTACACCAGTTTACGGTTTCAAAAACTCCAAGAAGACATTTGCCACCAAAGATAGCTCATCAGGAATCAACAGAGCAAGGACAGAGGCAGCCCTTCTCACAATAAAAAATCCCACATTGTTATAACCAAGATCTAACATGCCCAATCCTTGCCTAGGTGGGGTGTGTGCACTGAACTTCTCTTTGATCAATGCCAGTTATTTTATTCTGGAGACAGCTATGTCTTTTTATGTTGACCAGGATCACTGTTATTGACAAGTAAAATATGAAGACCTTAATGTGGGCATGCAATTAACCTGGGGTCGAGCTCTAGAGCCCGAAAGAAAATCAAGCAGTAAGGACAAACCAAAGCTGTGGTTATTTCTGGTCAGACTACAGATAGGCCCTGCCTTCTAATGCCATGCCAGCTACCAGGATAGTTACATATAGATGCGTGTGGATACTCAGAAGGCCGGCTTGAGTGACATGAACACTCGAGTAGCTGTTTCATGAAATCATTCAAATACTAGTGCTTCTAGTGGCTCACATTACACTCAGAATAAAAGTGAGAAGTCTGTCACAGGAACTAATTCTTTAAGTACTAAAACCCTAGGCCAGAGGTGGAACCCGACACAACTCCCCTGGGACTACAGCTATACAAATTATTAAAGCTCAAGCTAGTTAAAGTGTTTTCCCTGACCACATCAATTCTTGCATACCGTGTTTCAGTTTGAAGTGCTCCTTAAAGGCAGAGTTTTAACACCCTACAAAGCTAGATATAGTGAGATTTTAATAGGCTCTCCTCAGCCCCTGAGTACTTGGGAAATAACAATACAATGCCAACAAAAGTCCATTGTTCCCACTGCACTTTATCAGAGTCCAGTGAACCCACACCAGAAGATGCGTTCAGCACCAAGTGGACAAAACAAGGAAGCACATTCTTCCCCCACCCCCTGGGAGCGTGCAGCTTTAAACCTAGGGAAAAAAACTGCCCCCCACAGTCCTGCACACAGCTGTGAGAGCCTGGCAGCCCCTTACTTTGGCAGGATCGAGGTCGGCTGCAGCACAGCACTTCTATTCTGCCGGCCTCCTCTGCAATATTTGGGTCTGTCATGGGATTACAGGTTTGTCAGTTTAAGGGCTTTAAAGCCATCCTCTCAGAAGGCATAATGCTTCCAAGAAATATAGGAACTGCTCTATTCAGTAACAAAGCCCTCTGCTCGGCAGACAGCTCACATACTGATCGTGAGAGCCAAAAGAGCCAGCTCTTCTCACTCAAAGGCCGGGCTCAAATAAACCCTTTGTTTAGTCCCATAAAACCTACCATCCACGAAGCTTATAGGCCTCTGGGATGTCAGGATTCACAATGACCGTGCTTGAAGACAGTACAGAGAGGCTCCGTCCACCAAAATCAGAAACTCTGGCTCCTTTGATAGCCATCACGGGTTGTCTAGAACCATCAAATCTATCAGCCTGAGTAATAACAAAAACACCAAACAAATATAGTGAACAGGGGTCACTAGCAGGAAGGACACAGAACATTTTTATAGAAAACAAGGAAAACAGTCAGTAGCAGAGTAAATGCAATAAATGGTACATGGAATCTATCCAAGATAACCTCACACCCAGGAATCTGTTCCAAGATAAAGCAAAACTAATCTAGAGTTAGAGGAAAGATCATTTCACTGTGTAAAACTAAGATCACAGCATATTTCACAAAAGTAAATCAAATAAAGGATTTCGGATATTCCCTGGCCAGCTCAATCCTTCTTTAGGAAGGGCCTACATGGCCAAAGCCCCACAACTCTCAAGACAAGACAGCCGCCCGGCTCTCTATGTCTCTGCCTTCTGCACATGCTCTGACTGCTCAAGCAAATACTTACATCCTCCCCCCACAGAGTAGCGGTGACCACTTTCCCTGACATGTCCATCAAATAGATATTTCGCTTAGAAACTTCTCTGTTGTTAGATTTCACTGTGATTTTGGTGGCATCTTCGTAGCTCTTGCAGATCCCAATTATGTCTAAAATACAGGCACAATGTGTTAGCAAAAATGGTCAAGGCACCCATTACAGCATGATCAAAGGCTGAATGGCAAGCACTTCAGTCCCTTACATGTTGCAAACAAAACCAGTAATCACAACTCTCTTTGCTCTCATACACAGACTTACCTATAAGTGAGTCTTTAGGCTTGTTCTCCAGGTCACTAATCCCTGTGAAATCAAACTGAACTGTAGGTAAATGATGACCATGTTCACAGGGCATGACAGAAGTCTCATTGTTGAAGGTCATCTCATAGTCATTTTTAACAGCTGTGAACTGTTTGTTAGCAATCTTCAGGATGCCTTTAGAGATATAATAGACCTGCAAAAGAGGCAAGCCATGGAATGTGGGTAGTCTATCAGATTCAACAAACAACTCCTTACCACCACGCAGTTCTCCAATGGACGAGAGATCCCTCCCTCCTCCCGGTACCACTCAATGGTTTCAGTTCTCAACGTAACACTACCCTACCTTGTTCATGTCGATAAGGGGAAAGAACTTGTCCACTTGCTCATTGAAAGCAGTAGCTCTGATTTCACCCTGCAGAAGCATGCAAGAGCAGGTTAGAATTGTGCTTATCAAATTTTACCCCTGATCTTTAAGGCAGTCACACAGGCACAAACGGAATGTGTGATAGAGCTACAGACACCCCAGAAACACACATTTTATAGTCACATATTCAAGTTATTCACAATGGAACAACCTAGGTTTAACTAGCTGATCCTGCTGTGGTGCTTTATTAACCTCAAGTTAGAGACCTAAAAAAAAAAAAAGCAAACAAAAAAACACAAGAAACCTAATGATTTTAATATTCTGACAACAAAAATAAATTCTGAACACTGAGTGACACAAATGAAGCCCACAAGGAAGTGTGATGAGCCAAATGATTCACCAGCTGCCCTCACGCTCCTACCAAGCAAGGAATTACATCATATTTGGGAGTCACTGCCAAAATGTTGTAATACATGTTTTCAAGTTGCTTGTGATTTGATTTTCACTTTTACTTTTCCATCAGTCAAAATACTATAGACGGGGGAGCCTGGCTGGCTCAGTTAGGGGCGCATGCGACTCTTGATCTCAGGGTTCTAAGTTCAAGCCCCACGTTGGGTGTAGAGATTACTTAAAACAAAAACAAACTTCAGATGGATAAGAAACTTAAAGAAAGGGCTGAAATTTTAGCCAACTGACAGATTAGACCGATAATCTGGTAAAAAATTAGGTTCTGATATTGATTCTGCCATCATACAGTCAATATATTTGGGGTATCAGTCCATCTTCCAAAAACAAACCACCTATTTTTTTTCTGCCTTCTCAGAAGTCTGAGCCAATAGGAAATATGCAGCAGCTTGAAAACAATGTATCAAGTACATATCAGGAATTATAAACAAAACTAACAGAGAAATGGCTAACAAGACTGTCGAGATTCCACATTGTGGATTTTTTGTCTCTTCATCACGGTTTGGTTTTGTTTAAGTAAAGCATAGAGTCTACACAGGCAGAATCCATCTCCCACAAAACTGTTCACTTCTCAAGGCGGCTGGTGCATGCTTTCTGCTGTGAAAAACAACACTTTGCTCATAAGCAGACATCACTTCTCACGGCTTCAATTTAGCCTGCAAACAGGTCAGACAGAGTGTCTCTGGTTTCTCTTGCTCATGAGGATGCTCAAACATTTGAAAACTAATTTCTACTGCTACAAATGCTTTCATTTAAAATCAAGGATTTCAGGGGCGCCTGGGTGGCTCAGATGGTTGGGCGTCTGCCTTCGACTTGGGTCATGATCCCAGGGTCCTGGGATCGAGCCCCGCATCGGGCTCCCTGCTCCGCGGGAAGCCTGCTTCTCTCTCTCCCACTCCCCCGCTTGTGTTCCCTCTCTCG